AATTAAGTGCGAGTAGTTTTAAGGTTCTGGGTGTGAAAAAGTGTAGTGTGTGCAAGCTAGCCTAACCATTAGTTCTAAGGCTTGACCATCCTATGGGGACTCTCCTTGAGTTTTCTCATATTGACCCCACCTACTAAGTGCTAGAGGTTAGGACCAATATGTTGAACTTCAAGTTGAGCAAAGAAGAGTTTAGAATTTTAATGGTGAGAGTACTTTTTCTAGTTCTCTAGGAATAGTTAGTAGGAAAGTCCTATAGCTAGACCCTTGGATACTATGGTGGAAAATAGACCTCAACCAAAAGTGAGGTCAACAAATGGATCCACAATAGGTGTGGTGTGCTGGACAAGCACACCACGCGAATTGGCATTGGCCGAAGAGATCAACAAAACCAACACAGACGGCTAAGCCAACATGCTTAGAACAAAAAGTAGAATTGGGTGACCATTATTTTCGTTGAGGAATTAGCAAGTGAATATCTGAGCGAAATTGAGGATTTGAAATTCTCGCGGGGATTAGAAGGAAAGGAATTCTGCAAACTACTGTGACGTTCACGATGAAGGTTCAACTTCAATTTAATTGTTTGAAAACTTTGATTGTGATTGCAATAGTTTCGGAGGATAGGAATCAGAATTTAGGTGCTGACCCTGAAATGAGAATCGGAATTCAGGTACTTACCTTGAAAGGAGGGAACTAGAATTTATGTACTGACCCGAAATGGGAATTGAAAATTAGGTATCAACCCCAAAAAGAGTAGCAGATGCCTTACTCCATTTAAGGTGATCTTAGACCAATCTCAAAAGATCAGAATAGGATGCCTTACTCCATTTAAGGTGGTCTCATACCTATCTTCAAAGATATGGGTAGAGAATCAAATGCTTTATTCTACTTAAGGTGTACCAATCTCAAAAGATGGGAATAGAATGCCTTACTCCATTTAAGGTGGTCTCATACCTATCTCCAAAGATTTGGGTAGAGAATCAGATGCCTTACTACACTTAAAGTGGTCTCAAACTAATCTCGAAAGATGAGAATAGGATGCCTTACTCCATTTAAGGTACTCCATTTAAGGTGGTCAGGTGGTCTCATACCTATCTCTAAATATTTGAGTAGAGAATCAAATGCCTCACTCCACTTAAGGTAGTCTTAGACCAATCTTGAAAGATGAGAATAGAATGCCTTACTCCATTTAAGGTGGTCTCATACCTATCTCCAAAGATTTGGGTAAAGAATAAGATGCCTTACTCCACTTAATGTGGTCTCATACCGATCTCTAAAGATGAGAATAGGATGACTTACTCCATTTAAGGTGGTCTCATACATATCTCCAAATATTTGGGTAGAGAATTGGATGCCTTATTCCACTTAAGGTGTTCTTAGACCAATCTTGAAGAACAGAATGCCTTACTCCATTTAAGGTGATCTCATACCTATCTCCAAAGATTTGGGTAGAGAATCAGATGTCTTACTCCACTTAAGGTGGTCTCATACCGATCTCGAAAGATGGGAATATGATGCCTTGCTCCGTTTAAGAAGGTCTCATACCTATCTCCAAATATTTAAGTAGAGAATCAGATGTCTTACTCCAATTAAGGTGGTCTCATACCAATCTTGAAAGAAGAGAATAGGATGCCTTACTCCATTTAATGTGGTCTCATACCTATCTCTAAAGATTTGGGTGGATGCCTTACTCCACTTAAGTTGGTATCATGCCGATCTTGAAAGATTAGAATAGGATGCCTTACTCCATTTAAGGTGGTCTCATACCTATCTCCAAAATTTGGGTAGAGATATGGATGCCTTATTCCACTTAAGGTGTTCTTAAACCGATCTTGAAAAGATGAGAACAGAATGTCTTACTCCATTTAAGGTGATCTCAGACCTGTCTCCAAAGATTTGGGTAGAGAATCAAATGCCTTACTCCACTTAAGGTGGTCTCATACCGATCTTGAAAGATGGGAATATGATGCCTTGCTCCGTTTAAGAAGATCTCATACCTATCTCCAAATATTTAAGTAGAGAATCAGATGTCTTACTCCAATTAAGGTGGTCTCATACCAATCTTGAAAGAAGAGAATAGGATGCCTTACTCCATTTAATGTGGTCTCATACCTATCTCTAAAGATTTGGGTGGATGCCTTACTCCACTTAAGTTGGTATCATGCCGATCTTGAAAGATTAGAATAGGATGCCTTACTCCATTTAAGGTGGTCTCATACCTATCTCCAAAATTTGGGTAGAGATATGGATGCCTTATTCCACTTAAGGTGTTCTTAGACCAATCTTGAAAAGATGTAGAGAATCAAATGCCTTACTCCACTTAAGGTGGTCTCATACCGATCTCGAAAGATGGGAATATGATGCCTTGCTCCGTTTAAGAAGATCTCATACCTATCTCCAAATATTTAAGTAGAGAATCAGATGTCTTACTCCAATTAAGGTGGTCTCATACCAATCTTGAAAGAAGAGAATAGGATGCCTTACTCCATTTAATGTGGTCTCATACCTATCTCTAAAGATTTGGGTAGAGAACTGAATGCCTTACTCCACTTAAGTTGGTATCATGCCGATCTTGAAAGATTAGAATAGGATGCCTTACTCCATTTAATGTGGTCTCATACCTATCTCTAAAGATTTGGGTGGATGCCTTACTCCACTTAAGTTGGTATCATGCCGATCTTGAAAGATTAGAATAGGATGCCTTACTCCATTTAAGGTGGTCTCATACCATTCTCCAAAGATTTGGAAGATTTGGGTAGAGAATCAGATGCCTTACTCCACTTAAAGTGGTCTCATACTGATCTCGAAAGATGAGAATAGTATGCCTTACTCCATTTAAGGTGGTCTCATACCTATCTCTAAATATTTGAGTAGAGAATCAGATGCCTTACTCCACTTAAGGTGGTCTTAGACCAATCTTGAAAGATGAGAATAAAATTCCTTACTCCATTTAAGGTGGTCTCATACCTATCTCCAAAGATTTGGGTAAAGAATAAGATTCCTTACTCCACTGAATGTGGTCTCATACCGATCTCTAAAGATGAGAATAGGATGACTTACTCCATTTAAGGTGGTCTCATACATATCTCCAAATATTTGGGTAGAGAATTGGATGCCTTATTCCACTTAAGGTGTTCTTAAACCGATCTTGAAAAGATGAGAACAGAATGTCTTACTCCATTTAAGGTGATCTCAGACCTGTCTCCAAAGATTTGGGTAGAGAATCAAATGCCTTACTCCACTTAAGGTGGTCTCATACCGATCTCGAAAGATGGGAATATGATGCCTTGCTCCGTTTAAGAAGATCTCATACCTATCTCCAAATATTTAAGTAGAGAATCAGATGTCTTACTCCAATTAAGGTGGTCTCATACCAATCTTGAAAGAAGAGAATAGGATGCCTTACTCCATTTAATGTGGTCTCATACCTATCTCTAAAGATTTGGGTAGAGAACTGAATGCCTTACTCCACTTAAGTTGGTATCATGCCGATCTTGAAAGATTAGAATAGGATGCCTTACTCCATTTAAGGTGGTCTCATACCATTCTCCAAAGATTTGGGTAGAGAATCGGATGCCTTACTCTACTTAAGGTGGTCTCATACTGATCGCAAAAGATGACAATAGAATGCCTTACTCCATTTAAGGTGGTCTCATACTTATCTCAATGATTGAGAATAGGATGTCTTACTCCATTTAAGTCTGTCTTAAACCTATCTCAAAGATTTATGTCACAGTAGGAAGGAAGGCTCAATGCTTCATATCCGACCTAAGGGGTGACGGAAAGACCAGATTTTGATGGAAAGCTCGAAGACTCACATCAAACTCAAGAGCTGATCAGAGATTTATCACTATTTTAGGAAGGAAGACACTGGGGCTCACATCCAACACAAGAGGTAGTGGGAAAATATATCGTTCACGCTAGGAAGGAAAGCTCTGGGACTCACATCTAACCCAAGTGGTGATAAGGAAAATATCTACTACGTTGGGGAGGAAAGCGCTAGGACTCACATCCAACCCAAGGGGTAGCGAGAGAATATATCTGTCATGCTAGGAAGGAAATCTCTGGGACTCACATCCAACCCAAGTGGTGATGAGGAAATATTTGCTACATTGGGGGGGAAGCGTTGGGACTCACATCTAACCCAAGGGGTAGTGGAAACATTAGAATCTTGGTACTGACTCTGAGAACAACATGAAAATAGTGTAGAGAATTTGTGGTGTTGAGCTCATAGATATGTGACATGTGAAGGTTGACATTGGTTAGGAAAATTTGTAAGATTTTGTGTAGAGTGTGAAACTCTGTGGGGCTGTGAGGAAATTGGTGTGGACAAGGACAATCATGTTGTGCAAGCAAAGAGTAAGAAACCTCAAACTCGAGAAAAACATACTCAACAAAACTTATCATTTTCTTTTCTTGTTGTCCTTATCACATTTAATTATCAAATTACATTTTCAAAATTTAATTTTCATTGACTGATTTTCAAAAACAAGTTTAAATTTTAACATTAGACTTTTTGTTATATTGTTCTTCATTCATTATAATTCAAAACCAATGTATTGTTCCACGACTCTTTATCAATCGCACAAAAGGGCAATCTGATAAACATGTTGAACTATAAAAGAAATTTCATTAATATGCTTCAAACAGGTGTTATAGACTGAATATAGGCTGAAACATCAAAAGAAATAGCAAGTTGAATACATCTAAAACATCATATGCTGAATACATATCATATATCAAACACATTTGATGCATTTCATATCATATCTGCTACATCATTACACGGTACAAAAGTGTCCAGTGACTTTTTCTCTGTCCTCTGTGGTGTGAGCTCCTGATCAAGTTGACCTATTAAGCCACGCTCCATGACAAGAATTCTTTTTACTTGTACTTAGAGGTGCAGCCATCTCATAGCTCGTATGGGCGTAGCTCCTCCAACTCTGGGTCCTATTGGAACCCATATAGTACTTTACTGTCATTCATTCTTCTGAATGTCACAGACACTCTGCGCTGTTGTACCCCCGGAAAGCAATGCTTGGTTGTCTGCTCCATTTACCTTAAGAATTAGTATTAAACCCATCGGTAGTGGAATCTCAACAGCTCCTCTGAACTCCCTAAGGAAAACAACATCGATCTCTTTCCCAAACAATATATTGCTCTTGCTCATGAAAGACACTGTGCAAAAGGGCCTTACAAAATCATGGTGGTCTATATCTGAGTGAATACAACTCCTTCATCATAAATATTGATTATACAACTATTTGGAATGCAGTCCACTGGTAGTATACTCCATCTGACCATCCTTTTGATCATTCTTTTTATCTCAGAAGTTAGAGGATCCACCTCGTCATATATGAGGATACTTGGGGGTTTCCCCTTCCTGTTTTCGACAAAGTTATAGCAGTAACCACACTTGATAGTAATCATGCCTTTCCCGTGCATCCATTTCCACGACTCTGAGTAAATTTTCTTAATTAACAAACCATCTCAACCTCTGTCTCTTAGGTCAAATACACAGTCAAGAATTCTTCTTTCATCATTTTTAGAGAAGTCCCCCTGTATACAGCTCCAGGACTTCCAGAATGTTGACAAACTTTACTTGGATTTCCTCATAGAATTCCAATTCTCGCTTCTTAACTCTGTTCATTCTTTCCAGATCTGCCGTAGGAATAATTTAAGATCTTTGAGGTAGCTCCCTCATCTCAACATATGTAGGATACCATGTCTTACTTAGATTTGTTGATAATGGAATATACAACTCAGTGTTGGGTAAGTTGTCTCCTGACATCCTGTGTCAGTAGCTGTGAACTCCTCAAAAAAACTTTAGTGATCTAAATGGAGAACTTTGCATGTTGTACATTCCATGAATGCTCCTCATATTGATTCTTGTACGAGAACTTCAAAGTTGCACATCGAGAAACCCTTGTAAAGTGCATCTGAAATTGCTGGTAGTATCTGCTCTGCAGCAGACTCAGACTCGTTCTCCATAGCAGTCGGACTAGAAGAAGTCTGTCTCATGCAAGGATCATAAATTTTCCCCTCAGGAATCAGGGTGAGTATATTTTCTTCCTCTTTCATGCATCTCATTTCCTAATGTAGAAAAGCTATGTGCTTGCAACCATTAGCGTTACGACACTGTGTTCTTCTTAGTGGTGTATACTCTTTCCTCATTAGCAATGACTAGATCCCCTATTGACGTAGTTATCATGGACGACAAACGACTAGTCCCTTCCATCAGATTTTTTTTGTGTTAACACTTTCTTCCTTTTTAGTGAGGAGTATTCTTTAGTACTGATCCTCAGTAGCGAAGGTAATCCTTCCTTCTCTTGGCGACTGACTATGTCAATCAGGGGACCCTCATAGTTCACGTTGACCGGACCAAAGTCTAAGTCAAAGTCTAGGATGCCTCTCTGTGCTTCCCTTTCTCTCTTCAGCGCAAGATTCAAACCGTCTCTAAAAGCAAAAATCAGCTTTAGTTATGACATTTTTCTGCAGAAGACAGAAAAACATCAGTGCGCTGAAATTCAGCATGAACAAGAGCAAAAATGAAGCATTCATTAAACAAAAATTTTTATTTGTGCAGGTGCAAATTTTTTATTTAATTTCTATTTAATTTAATGAATTTCAAAATTAGAGACCAAAGGAGGAAATTAAAGTGAACAAATTCCAAAATTTTCATTTTATTGAGGTTAATTTTATTACAAAAGTTTAGACCCATTCACAGACAGTTGGCCAAATAAATAGCCCCAAAGCAATCAAAATTTCAAAAGGTTGATTTCAAGCAATCATCATGTCGGGAAATAAATCTTTGCGTAGTGTCCATTAACTGATAACATGGGTCTTTTGCCTTGGAAATCCACCAGCTGGTAAGATACTCCCGAATAGACCTTTTCTATGACAAATGGTCCCACCCAAGCTGGGTCAAATTTTTTACCTTTCTTACGGTGTGAAAGAATAGGTATTTTAAGAATAAGAATGAGATCACTAACTTTGAATGCCCTAGGGCAGACCAATTTGTCCTGAGCTTACACCATCCTCACTTGGTAGAGCTCCAATGTTGTTGTGCTTCTAGTCATTTTCCCTTGAGACTTTCCAATTCTTCAAGTCTGAGTTTGCACTTTCTTTGATTATAATTTGGTTGGCAATGGCGACTCAGAGAGATGGTGTTTGAACCCCCAGTGGCAGTATGGCCTCATACCCTTACATAAGTGCATAGGTTGTACATTGAGTGGAGTTCTGAACTTTTTCTAGTAAGCCCAAAAAGCTTCTAATAGTTGATTATGCTAATCTCTTTTTCTTTTGTCCAATGTCTTCTTTAAGATTTACACAAGCATCTTATTGAAGGCCTCGACTAGTTCGTTTGCCCTGAAATAGTGAATTATAGAATATCTCCAATCTATCCCTTGTCGTTTGATGAAGTTGTTGATCTTTGTGCTCTTGAAGGTTGTTCCATTATCAGAAATCACTCTGCACAGTACACTGAAACGATAGATGACTTGACTTTTGAAAATTTGCAGAACATGCTGTGTTGTAACCTCTCGTAATGACACTACCTCTGGCAACTTGGAGAAGTAATTCATTGCTGCAAGAATAAACCTATGTCCCTTCGAGGATGGAGGGTCTATCAGACCTATTATGTCTGTGCCCCAACACTCGAACATCACGAGGCAACAGTTGGGTGTAGCACATTCGGAGGTTGGTGTAAGACCACCCCATGCAATTGACAAAAGTGACACCTTCTAGATGTATCCATGTAATTGAATATCATTGCTACATCATTGCTGGCCAATAATATCCAAGTCTTTTAATCTTCATTTTCATTCATTTTTGGCCCTGACTGGTGAGCGCCACACAATTCTACATGTACTTATTTGACAATATTTTGTGCTTCAGCTCTGCTTAGACATCGCAGCCACATCTGATAGAATGATCTTCTGTAGAGTACATCAGGCACTAGAGCATAAGACATAGCCCTTCTCGTGATGTGATATGCCTCGGACTTGTCCTCCGACAGCTTTCCAGTTTGCGAATATTCTATGAATGGCTTGCACCATACTTCGTTGATGTCAGCAACTGAAATCACCATTCCTTCTTTTAATTCATCCATATTTGACTTAATTTCTTCTTAAAATTTTGGTGGGGCATCACCTATCAACTAATCTTAAGAGTCATCCTCTACATCGAGGCAATCCTTTTCCAATCCGCTATTAACAACCATGCAAAATTTTGAGTCATGGACTGGTCCTACTGTACCAAATTTGAGACCTTCTTTCGAGTTAGGAGTTCAACTTTTAACATTCCCTAATTTTTCAAAAGGTTGTAGCTTATCCTTTATCATTTGTTTTAGCACATATCCCTGTTGAATTAATTTTGGTACACAAGGATTCACTAAACTAAATTCTAAACTTTCAAAGTAAACTTACGAAAACTAACAACATTTTTGTGATGAAAAGTTCAAATTTAAGAAAGCATCCTTCCCCTTGACAAAGAGTATATGGATTGTGAAGAATCTAAAATTATTTAAAAATATATATATAATTTTTTTTGTGCTAAATAGGAGCAATCCTACTCTTTACCCTCTTCCGAGTGGAACATTGACTAATCAAGAGTTTGGTCCATAATTTCATGATTAGACTGGAAGGATATCGGCTGCCACTCTAGAGATCTCACTACTCCCCCACCCGAGGGCTAACCATATTTCATCTGTTTCTACTAGACCAAATTGGGGATTTTAATTTGTCACCTTAAAATCTCCAATTCTACATCCAACAAAGTATATTTCCCTATTTATTTGCACCCAACTCCATGTATGATATACTCTCCCATGAAATCAAATGTGAGTCTCTCAATGTTGTAGAAATCATAGCCCTTTCGAAACATATGTTTTTGAACACATTTTAACATTTTAATTTGCCAAATTGAAAAGTAAATGAAGATCGGAGTTCAAATCATCCCAAATTATTGGCATTTAAAACCATGTAAAATAAAATCAATTCTCCACAAAACCATATCTCAAAGTAGGAAGAAGGATAAAGAAGACTACTCAAAATTCATGATAAGGACACGATAAAACATGGATATCATATGTAAAAATAAGTTTACAAAACAAAAAAAATAAAAGACATAACTTATCTCACAATCCTTTCCAAGCAAATCCCTAGAAGTTCTCTTCAAGCCTTTGTCTCTTTACAAGCACTCTCAATCCTCTCTTAAAAGTGTAATGAAGAAGAAATCTCTCACCTTCCCTCTCCTCTTACAATCCTTGAAGAAAATCTCCAAGCCCTTGAGTAGTCTCTCTCTCTACCTCTTCTTTTTGCTCCTCTTCACATGCCACACTTATACACTCTAGACCCCCAACTCCTTGAAGTCTTCTTCTTTTATTAGGGACTGCCTCCTTTCAAAAGGACTTACAAATTCCCCCCAAAATTCTATCTAAAAGTCAACACTTTTAAATTCAAAATAAATTCAAAAGACATGACTGTTCATCCAAGAGGCATATCCCTTCATAAAAGAATCTTCCAAAGTGTCTAGATACATTGAATCACTCAAAGGGGTGTTTAAAACAAGTTTCCCTTTTGAAATTCACACAAAATATGCCTCGAACCGCTTTAATCGACAAAAAGTTATCTCTGGCACATTTTGATCCAAATCTAGTGCAAGTTTTCTGTCAAATGGCATGTCTGACGCCAATCTAGTGCATCTTGCGCTAGTTTGCTGAAGACCATGTTGTTATGGGTTTTACCGCATATGGCACCAATCTGGCGCATCCTCCATTAGAATCCTAAAATTCGTTATTTTGGCTCCAAATTTTGTCCTTTTTGCTACTTGTGCTCCAAATATCTAAAATTGATATACCTGCATTAAAAACATGAAAATACCCTTCTTTAAAGTGTAATGATGCGGGGGTAGATTTAGTGTGAATTTTGGAAATATTTTTCAATATTACAAATTTACACACGACACATATATAATAAATATGCAATATAATCCCAACAAAAATACTTTTTATGAAAATAATTTATCTTTTAAAACTCTTTTTAAACTACAAAATCTTCTTTAAAATCAACGCAAGTATGAGTATCACTCAAGTAAAAAAGTGCTCTAATGGAGTTCTAGATATCGATCCCATAGGGGAAATCCTAAAAGTAAATTATGAAATCTATTTTATAATTTAAAAATACAAAAATAAAATTAAAGTAAACTGCAAAGTTTTAAAATTAAC